TCCCGCTGGTCCTGCTGTCCCGCCGCAGGGGTGTCCTCGCCCGGCTCCTACTGCTTTCTTTTCCCGACGCTGCTCCCGCTTCGGGCAGCCCTTGCCCTGCAACACAGACAAGTCCCCAAGGCGGGCGGGGGGGGAAACACTCAGGGCGCTGGGATGCTGGAGCTCGCAGACCCCGCCGCCGCCCGCCGAGCCCAGCCCGCGCGCCGCCTGCGCGTGGCGCAGTTACTCGGATGAGCAAGGACCGTTCGATCCCAGCTGGCTACAGAGCCAGAGCCAGGCGACCGGGATCCTCGGATCCTGCGGCCTCACGGCGCCAAGTACAGTGTCCCCAGGGAGCCCAAGAGTCCCGCGAGCCGGCTGCCTACACCGTCTTAATGGCACTGATTGCGCACGGTGAGGGCTGACGCTCCCCCAAACAGGGTCCTCTCCGCCCAGACACCCGGCCACGGCCACCCCCCGCCAGTCCCCTGTATCCAACGTGGAGCCGGGCACCGCAGCCCCAGGTCCTGCAGCTGTCAGGCAGAGAGGGCCAGCTGCAGATGCTCGGGACAGCCCCTCACCCTGCCCGGCCTCATGCCCTAGGTGCCGCGCAAACAGCCCTCCAGCCCCCGGCTGCCGCCTGACCCCGGCAGGACCCCGAGACACCCACTGGACCAGCGGCTCGGACTCCCGGGCGGCGTCGGCTGCTCTGCTCCGCAGCTGTCCCAGCCGTGGCCGCCTGTGGCACCCACAGTCTCTGCCCCAACTCCGCGGCCCCCTCCTTTCCCACCTCTTCAAGTATCGTCCGCGCAGCGGTTTCTCGCGAGAGAAATACTTTTTTAAAAAAAAAAAGAAAGAAAGAAAGAAAAAGAAAATGACACCCCCACCTCCCCCATCACCACCCCACCCCCGGCCCCATCTATCCTCCCTTTCCACTCCCCTCTGCCAGCCACCGCCCGGGTCCGGGGCCTCCCTCACTTGCAGGATCAGCGCAGTGGGAGGAGGCGGAGGTGATCCAGTCCTGCCAGGCCGGGATATTCCGTCCCAGGGTGGGGAAGCGAGGGAATGGGAAGAAGTGGAGTAGCGGTTTGGACTGTTCTGCGGCTGGAGGTCTAGACCCGAGATTCCCGTGATCAGAAGCGCGGAGAGCTGTGCCACCTGCACCGAGAATGCGTGCTAGACACCTTGGCCACCGAGGCCCAGGAGGCCCTGGATGGAGAAGGGCCCTGTGGCAGTGGCCCCGCTTAGGGGCCCAGCCTCATGTGCCTCTGCTGTCCTGCAGGCCCCAGGCTCAGGCTGGGCGTGTCACAAGGCCACGATCCCTGAGCCAACCAACAGGTTGGTGGAGGAAGGGGCTTGTCACTGTCAAGAGCCCATGAGCTGGCTTTTTGGAGCCCACTGGAGGAGTGGTTCTTCAGGGGCTCAGGCAAGCCATTCGCCTGGGCTAAATCCAGGATGTTGCAAAAGTCTGAGTTTGGGCCTGTGATTTGGGTTTCCAGCAATCCTCTTGCCTAACCCTCAGTTAAAATTGGGGTTTCCTGGAAGAACCCTATTTTTACATGTACATACACTATACAGAGCACAAATACACACACACAGAGAGAGAGAGAGAGAGAGAGAGAGAGAGAGAGAGAGAGAGAGAGAGAGAGAAATAACCAGAATGCACAAGTACCCAAATATCGCCTGCACTAGAGTTTAGCTGGTCTGGGAACCCAATTAGGCTCTACCACAGGAACCAGGGATTCCCAATCACCAACTGTCATGCTCAGGACAAACAGGTACCCTAAGAATGCGTGCATCTTATTGAAGGAGATTTTTCTTGTTTTCAACATTGTGTCCAGATATGAGATTATAGCAATCAAGGCAACTTGATCTGCATTTCAGGATGGACCACACATTTCATGACGGTGGCCTTACTGCACTGCCTCGAGACATGAATGGGAAGATGAAAACACTGATTAAAACTCACAATTCCTAAAATATATTGTCTGGCTTGATTAAGGTCTTACCTTCAAAAATCCTCTTAGCAGATCCATGTACCAGAGATTTGACCAGACATGCTCAGTTGAGTAAAGAATCATTCATTCAAGGGCTAGGAAATGGCTCAGCAGATCAAGCGCCAAGCCGGATGATCTGAGTTCTATCACAAGATCTACATGATGGTAGGAAAGAAAAGATTCCTGAACGTTGTCCTCTGATCGATGTACTCAGCACATTCATGCACATGTGCACAGTACACACACACACACACACACACACACACACACACACACACACACACAATTTGCTGTAAAATTACCTTTCGCTCAAGAAGTAGATACTGAACACCATCCATGCCACCTTATCATTGGATGAATCAGAATTACTTGCAGGTAAGCCAGGAGTTTCAGGCTCCTCAGACAGCAGGTGGGCTGCAGGGAAGGCAGGCTTGAAACAAATGATAGCTCAAATGTTACATGCCAGCAAATACAGGGCATTGCTTAGAGGGTATATATGAGGGTGACTAGACCTAAGCTAGGGCTGATAGGGAAGGCGTCCCTGAGAAAAATGTCATCGCATGATGACTACTTACAGAGAGAGCAAGGATTCTGAACTATAGACACAGGATCTAGGGTATACACATATGTAATGTGTATGTGTGTATATATATATATATATATATTAGGATATATATTAATTATGTATTATATGATATATATACATATATATGTATACATATAATCAGATATAAGGACCCAGAGGCTCTGTTTTTTAAAGTCTGTGGTCGATCTTGACATGGATATTTTTCAAAGTTCCCCAGATACAAAGAGGTGGCACAAAGATTATTATGGGTGGGAAAGGGGTCCCAGCAGAGGAACCATGGGTTAGCAGAACCTAGGCTTCTGGAGGTCAAGGAGGATTTTGGCCTGACTCCTATGTATCCGGGCTGTTCAGCACCCTTTGTGCGTTTTGGAAACTGCCTGTTTTCAGATGACATGCAAGAGGCAATGTGACCCTCTCTTGGAGGCTGCCACTCAGCAACATAATCGACGGGGACAGCTGGGTGCAGGGCTCTTCAGAGGCATTTACCCTGGCAGCCCAGAACAAACCCCAACAAGGGTTCCATGTGTCTGAGGATCACCAAGTTCTCCCCAGTAAGTGGAGGGCTGGCAGGGGCTGCAGCAGTCGGTGTGCCTGCCTTTCACGTTCAGTTCCTCCTCCCCAGGACTTTTTCTACACGAGGGATCCATAAATATTCGGTAAATGAGCCAGTGGGTTTGCTTTCTAGAGCGATGTGATGGTAACTTTAAACCCTCACCCCATCCTTCCTTATTATTCTCTGTGCTGGAGAAAGGATCAACACAGTTCTAGCCACTGACAGCCTTGATGGTACCTGGTGGTGCCTCAGTTGTCCCACTACTTCCTTGGGAGTGAATGAAATGAATCTTCAAGTAACACTAAGTTGGCTGATAGCCAATGTATGTATTTTATTACTTAGTTCATTATTCATTTGACCAATTTGACCACAGGCAAGTACCACCTGCTAAACACCATATCAACTATGAGACGATTTATATTTCCATCATTTTTCAGAACTTTCCTTTATTGAAGAAGTATCTTTAACGACTTAATGTTTAAGTATTTTCCTATAATCCCACCATTCTAGCAACTAATTGACTTTTCTCAGTTTCCCACGAGTCTCTGTCTCTGCAGTACATCTGACATAGTCATAACCACGGAGTCTAGAATAGTTTTGTCTTCTGTGGAACAGAGAGGAGGATTTGTTCACACTTCAGGCTTAACCTTTGCATTTTTGCAGATGAGGGTCCCTGGGTGAGGTTCGCCTAGCCATACTTCTGGCAGAAAGCATGTACAACTGTTGAATTATGTTATTGAAATAACTTTCATTACCTCAATCCCCCAAAGCCAACAGTTCCTCTCCACCCAAAACAAAAGCTCTGTTTCTCAGTCTTCATTTCGCTTGTGTTTTCCATGAGTTCTGGGTCCCACCCTGGTATTGCCTGTCTTTTTTTTTTTTTTCTACCAGACATAACAGATACCAGCCCAACAGCAGAGGAGAATAAAGAAGAGGCCTGGCCAGCAAGAAAGGATACAACATTGGATCCATCACAAATTAAAAACATGCCCTCCCTGAGTGCCATTCAACTCATGTTTACTAAACACCAGCTCTGTGCCATGCCATGGTCAATCCTGCAGCTGCCCCCCCAAAACCCCTCCCCCCAAAACCCCTTCCAGGGTGCTTCACCTTCTCTCAGAAGAGGGAAAGGGACTCCACATCTGCAAAGTCCCCAAAAATGGCAAACAATAAGCTAAGAGGCTAAGAAAAGTAAATGTTTTCAAGCATTTTATAGGCAAAAACTCAAATTTTATCTGCGGACCTTGATTGACATTTGAGTTTCCTTTAATTTTCTTAAGCAATGAAGCATTCTGTTGATCTTTTTTCAATGATGTAAAAGTATACAGCTCCCAAGTATATGAAAACAGGCATTTGGAGTGAGGGTGTCCAGTAAGCAGTTTACCAGTACCTGGCCTGTAAGACAAAGGTCAGCACAGAAAATGGCTTGAGGAATCCTCCCAAAGCTGGGTGTCACCAAAACAGGGGCCCCCGGAGGAGAGAGGTGGGTGGGGTGGGATGACTCGTCGGGTCAGGAAGATTTAATGGACGAGATGGGATTTGAGAGGTGCCTTGAAAGGAGGGGTAGGGTTTGGCTGCACAGAACGGTCTTGGGAGAATATTCCAGACACGCGAGAGAAGGAGGCAAAAGCAGGAAGGGAGGAAAGAATTGGGGCCAGAGGAGACAGATGAGGTATTTTCCCATCCTTCCCTGGGACACACCCTGGGCTGAGTGTCTATGAAGGGCAGCAGGCTACTGTGGACCCATGGGTATTGTTTCTTAAATGACTGATTAATCACACCACATGAATACTTATCTCCATCACTGAGACCTGGAAGAATTGAGACCCATCTGACCTCTGTGTTCAGACTGATGGAGGGCAAACTGCACTCAGCTTCCCCTGGGTTTCAATTAGTCACCTACATTAAGAAATTTTAATAGAGAATGAACTTTTTCTCAGGACCCTAATACTAGTCTCTTTAAACCAGGAAACGCATACCC